AAAGTAAATTGTTTACAAATAAAAGCGATTATGAATCAAGGCATCACTGGACCTGAGAATAATAATTTCAGGAGTAAAGATTCATTCTGGCTCGTGGTTTCAGAGGCTTCGGAGCATGGTCACAGGCTCCCTTGCATTATGCTGTGGTGAGACAGTGGCTCAGGACAGGGATTGTGTGGCAGAGCCAGCAGTTCTCTCCTGGCAGATAGGAGGCAGAAAGAGAGGCAAGGGGCTGGGGAGGAAGGGACTGGAGTCCTGGAACAGCCCCAAGGTCACACCTTATGATCCCCTCCCTGGGATCCCACCTCTTGTCTCTATCACCTCCCCACAATGCCATGGGCTCATCACTGAACTAACCCACTGATGAAGGTAAGCCTCAGAAGCCAAACAACAGCCACTGAGCCGATGGGAGGCTATATTGGATCCATAGCTTAGCATATACATCAGAGTGCATCCATAAGAACACTAAGAGATCAAGAAAATATGCCTACGCTTCTAGGGGAAACAATGGTATCAGACAAGGGACAGAGAAAGAAATAGAATAACATAAATCAATATAGCAGGATACAAAGACAAAACACAAAAAACAATAGCTTCCTGTACACCATTAATGAACCTACTGAGAAGGAAATTAAGGGGGAAAAGTACCATTCATAAGGACACCAAGAAAAATTAAATACATGGGCATTAACCTAAGGAAGTGAAAGACCTCTACAATGAAAACTACAGTACTCTGAAAAAAGAGATCAAAGAGAACATCAGAAAATGGAAAGATAAACTGGGTGTGGTGGCACACCCCTGTAATCCCAGCACTTGGGAGGTTGAGGCAGGAGGATTGCCACAAGTTCAAAGCCAGCCTGGACTACATAATGAGTTCAAGGCCAGCCTGAACTATCTAGGGAGACCTTGTCTTAAAAAAAAAAAAAGGCCAATTGAGATGAATAGTCACTTGACAGAAGAAGGAGTACAAATGGCCAATAAATACATGAAGAAATGCTCAATGTCGCTGGTCACTAAAGAAATGCAAATTGAAACAACGCTGAGATTCTATCTTACTCCAGAAAGACTGGCTATCATCAAGAAATCAAATAACAATTGCTGGAGAGGTTGCAGGGGAAAAGGAACCCTCCTACCTTTTGGGGGGAATGTAAGATAATACAACCACTGCGGAAATCAGTAGGGAGATTCCTCAAAAAACTAAAAATGGTTCCTTCCTAGAGAGCAGAGGCCATGGGTTCGCCACATGCTCCTTCTGCAGGTTGAGGGCATCCTGGCGTCCAACCTTGCCCTTGAGGTTCCTGTGTTGAGGAGCCTGCAGGCCTCGAATCTCTGGGACACTGGTTTTCTAGGGCTGCGTTGGAAACATGGCCTGTTGCTGGCTTCACAGACACAGTGGTCATAACTGCTCCACCCTCCAGCCGCTGTCCTCTGCTGATTTGTGGGGTCGCTGAATCTTGGTGAGCTCTGAGGCGTGTGCAGTGTGGCTGGCCTGCAGCACTCCACCCCCAGACTGGGGGTCCCCTCCTTCCCCACCCGCAGCCTGGGGGTCTCTCCCATCAGTGAGGTTGGTGCACACTTGGAAACTCGGATACCAAAACCCAGCCCAAGCCAGAGCTGAGCATGAGCTAGTAGTCAGGCTCTGAGGCTGCCCTGCTCTGCCCAGCCACACCAACAGTGCATTTTTCCAGGTTCCCCTGTGGATAGTCAGATGGAAGCTCTGTCAGACTTCTGTGGGCTGAGGCCGAAAAGCTAGTGGGAGTCATCATGGGGTCGGGAAAAATTAAGGTGGATCTGCATTGAGTCAGGTAGTCCCAGGAACCTCAGAGAATTACCTCTTGACCTCTTATGCAAATTGATTTAAAACAGTCTCAGTGTCCCCTAGACTCCGTTAGAACCAACTAAAGTCCATCAGCGTGTCCCTCTCTGTCCCCACTGTTAAAGCACCTGGCCCCACTCAGCACCATCCCCTCACAGGCCACTTTGTGCCTAACTTGTCCCCAAGGAACCCAACCCCACATACTGGACAGAGGGGAGGCCTGCAGAAAGGACAAGGGAGATGGCTTTGGCCCCAAAACTGCCCCAAACCCAGCAAAGGTTGTAAATACCAAGAAGGCATGACACTGCCACAGGGCCCTCAGGGAGTGGGCACCAAAACTGCCCAGGCAGGACCACTGCACTGTGACCCGTGTCTGTTTACATGCCCTGTACTGGGTCTAGGCTAAGATCTGTGTGGCAAAGTGTAAAAAGTGTATCTGATAGCCACAGTGGTTAGTTCAACATGTTTTGTATATATGATTTTTACAAATTATTCAAATTTGCCTTAAATTTTTTAAAAACCTAAAACTATAAATTCCATTTGACCCAGTTATTCCCTTTTTAGGTGTCTTCCTGAAAGACTTAAAGACAAAGGTGAGTACGGTTTCCCCACAGTAGCCTGCCCTGTGTCCTCTGGGGTGTACTTGTATCTTGCTTTTTCCTCTTTAATTAGGTCCAGGCTCTCTCTGCAGAGCTAGTTTCTCCCTCCCTCTTCACTTTTATTTTTTCAAATAAACTATGCTAACATTAAAAAAGACATCATATTACAGTGATACATGCACATCAATGTTAATAGCAGCACAATTCATAATAGTTAAATCTTGGAAGCAGCCTCTATGTCCATCAACAAATGGAAGGAGATGGCTACTAAGTGACTGGGGAAGATGGGTATGCTGGACCAAGGGAAAATTCACATCCACGGAGCTGGTGCAGGATTTCTTGTGCTGTTGAGAACAGCACACAACTTAAAACCTATGACTTAATCACATCTGAAAGCTAATATTTTTATTCAGCATTGCCCTTTGGTAACCGAAACCACAGAAAGCAAAATCCCAGATTGGGGTGAGGGCCACTGGATTATCTTTTTTATTCTTATTGGTTTATTTTTCATTTGATCTTTCGCTTTTTTTTTTTTGGTACCAGGGTTCAAACTCAGGACATTGAACTTGCGAGGCAGGTGGCAGAACCACTGAGCTAAATCCCCGGCCCTTGGTTTTTTCTTTCTCTCTTTTTCCATGTTACAGTTTTAATGTGAATAAGTACCAGAAGAAAGAGCTAAAGAATTTAGTAGGGGGGGTTGGGGTTGGGGTAGGTGAGGAATCAGTGTTTCATAAGTTTTATAGTATTATCTGATTGTTTAAATCATGTGAATATATTACTTTGATTCTTTAACTTTATTTTTAAATTTTTATTTTTTTTAGTCCATGTTTGCAGTACAAAATTATTACATTCATCATGGGGAGTTGGTACATGTACATAACAAATCTTAATTCTTTCCACATACCTTCTCCTTGCCCCAATTCTTTTACTATAACTTTTAAATGGTAGACCATTCTCATTTCAGTTTCCCTAACTAAAGGTTTTTACTGTGTGTTTATACACTGACCATATATTGCTTAGCAAACATTTACATATCTGTTCAGTAAGGTCTTGCCCAGCACAGGAGATAAATAAATGAGCAAAGGTAAATTTTACCTTTAATTAATTCACAGTAGCAGTGGGAGGGAAAGATAAGTAGCCAAGTAGTTACTAAACAGATGACAGGGCATGGTGGTGCGGGCCTGTAACCCCAGCACTCTGCGTTCTGAAGCAGGAAGATCACAAGTTTGAGCCCGACCTGGGAAATTTAGCAATTTAGAGGCTCCTGTCTCTAAATGAATAAATAAATAAATAAACAAATCCCAAGTGCTGTGGCAGATAAACATAGAGAGTGCTGTGGCAGTGGAAAGGAGGGTGTGTCTGGCTTTGCCCTGGGAGAGGAGGATCTGTGCTGCAGCTTACAGGAAGATAAGCTTCACTTCGCTTCCTAAACTCCTCTGAGGAATGGTTTCTAGGCAAACTGACTTGATGTGAAAAGGCTTGGAAGTGTCAGCAAGTTTCCTTTGTCAAGTTTGGTCAGACTAGAAGGTAAGATATGTGTTATGTAGGATCTGTCTCATCCTTTATTCAGTTTTACTGTGGCCTTATATGTACATTTTGTTTATTTACTCACTTTTTTTTTTTTTGGTACCGGGGATCGAATTCAGGGCCTTGCGCTTTCGAGGCAGGTGGTGGATCCACTGAGCTAAATCCCCAGCCAAAATTACTCACTTATTTTTGAGATAGCATCATGCTACATTGTCCAGACTGACCTCAAAATACAAAGTCTCACTTTATATAGTTCAGGCTAGCCTTAAACTCACAGCAATCCCCCTGCCTCAGCCTCCGAAGGGCTAGGCTTACAGGTGTACACCACCACACCCAGCCGGCCTCAAGCGATCCTCCCACCTTAGTCTTTGGAGTAGCTGGGACTACAGGTGTGCGCCACTACCCCTGGCTTTCATAGACATTTTAAAATCTTGGGATAGTCAGGTATAGTGGTGCATGCCTATAATCCCATAACTTGGGAGGCTAAGGCAAGAGGATCACTGTGAGTTCAAAGCCAGCCTGAATTACATAGTGAGGCCCTTTCTCAAAAAATACATATGTATTTTTATATAATGTTTTTGCTACATTGCTAAATTGCCCAGGCTGGGCTGCCCAGCCTTCTAGAATGCTAGGATTTGAGGTGTGTGCCACCATGCCTTGCTATATCAAAATTTTATTATTCTGCACAAGCCAAGGACCCAAGTTTGATCCCCGGTACCAAAAAAAAAAAAATTTTATTATTTATGCTAGGGATTTAGCTCAATGGTTCCACTGCCTGCCTCACAAGCACAAGGTCCCGAGTTCAATCCATGATACAAAAAAAAATTATTATTCATTTATTTTTGATTTTTTTGAGGCAAGTTCTCACTATGTAGTTCAGGCTAGTCTTGAACTCACTATGTAGTCCAAACAGGCCTCAAACTCAGTGATCTTCCTGCCTCAGCCTCACAAGGGCTGGGATTACCAGCACATGCCACCTCACCTGGCTCAGAATATAAAATTTTTAAAAAGTGTTGGCAATGTAGCTCAGTATAAGGGCTCTGGATCCAATCCTCAGTACCACAAAAGAAAAAATAAAAATCTTGAGATGTGTCTGATCGTAAAATGCAGCTGGGGTCCTGACTTTGAGGCAGAAATAATGGAAGCCATTGTAGGTGGTCCAGTGCCACAAATACGAAGAGGAGGAAAACGCTAAAGTATTCCATGTCTTGTGCTAAGTGTGTACTCCAGTAACCTTACTGTGTCCAGTTTTCCCTGTGGGGATATTGAGTTACAGACAGTTCCTCACTTTCCAAATTATGAAAATGAGTCTTTTTTTTCTATTTTTGATGTTTTATTTCCATGATTCTGTACCTGATAAGTGAAAAGAATTTTCCATTTAACTCTCAAGAGAGTTGACTTCTTTGACACATAATTTAAAGTGCTTCATACTTTTATTTCTAAAGGAAATATATTTAAAATGTTTCATTCAAAGATCTGAAGAAGAGATTCAATTAATCAGCGAGATGTGTGGGCAGAAAATTCTTTTCCCATCCATAGCTAAGAAAATGTAGAAGGGTATTCATACATCACAGGAAACTCTCTCTGGGAAATGTACATTAGGCTATGATTAATTCTTTCTTTCTTTTTTTTTTGTACCAGGGGTTGAACTCGGGACCCTGTGCTTGTGAGGCAGGCATCAGAACCACTGAGCTAAATCCCCGGCCCCTGATTAATTCTTTCTTTTTTCTGGTACTGGAGATTGAACTCAGGACCTTGCGGTTGTGAGACAAGCTTGGTGCCACTGAGCTAAGTCCCCAGCCCTAGGTTATGATTAGTTCTGAGAGTGGCCTTCTTTAAAAGTTCCACATGAATTCCTTCTGGGCTCTGGGACTACTAAAAGAATTTACTAAATTTACTAAAACAATTCATCAGAGAATGACTGGGATCGATGTCCCTCAGTGACATGAACAGGAAGGTACTGGGTCTGACACTGGCCGTGCACAGTTTGGATGTGTAGGCTCACCTTGCTCTAGAAGCAGCTCCCCACCCAGCTGACAGCACCCCCAAACTGGCTGTGCTTCTGAGGCAGGTAAGTGCCTAGCTCGGTTTCTCAGCACGGGCATGGTCTCACACGGCATGATATTATAAACTGGTTCATTCCCCCGCTACTGTGTCCCAATTCTGTTCCCTGGATCCAGAGGCTTTTTATTTTCCTTTTCTCTGATTCTTTTTAGAGCTGGGCCCATCTTTCCTTATAGCCCTATAACCCTCTGGGTGTTTCAGTTCATCTCCATTTCTTCTGTGGCTGCAGCTGTCTTGTTCCCAGGGAGGCACTTTGCCCTTCTTTCTGCCTTCAGGGTCCACTGCTTGGGCTGACAGTCTGTGTCCCTGTCAGGACCTCCCATCTGCAATCTGTAGAGAGCAGCTTCTCTTTCAGATGGTGAGCATGAATGAACGCCCTCCCTCAGACACCCTGAGGTCTTAACTTTTAGATCAATCTCTCTCTCTTCTTTGAAAATGAGTCCTTTATCCGAGACTCTCAAAGTAAAAAGCAGGCAATATTTAATCATCTTTCAAAATATTATGTCCTACAGGAAACAGACACTAGCCACGCAGATTGGCACTCGTCCTTTGTTCCTCCTCGGTTCCCTTTTCTCCATGCCCATGGCCACAGTGCAACGCAGCCTCCCTGTGGGACCATGGCTCCTTCTCTCTGGCTCCAGTCTGTCAGCGCTTGTCTAGCATCCACAAGGGCCTGAGTCCAGTTCCCAGTCCTGTAAAAGCAAAAACAAAACTAAGGAAGAGAAAAAACAAAAACACTTAACAACTCCTGCAGTTGGATGAAGCCTGGACTGTCATCATCACGCATCACCCTTTGTTACCTGGCCAAAACGACCTTTCTAGCACCCACCTATCATTCTTCTCATCTACTCTCTCCACTTCTCAACATGTACACAATGTTCTTTCTCTATAAATTTTAGCTTCCCTGAATATTGTTCTTAGAACACAGTGAACCTTCAGGAAGTCATCAAATGTTTGCTTATGTTTTTCTCTCTTATACCCTTTGGCCCACAGTCTTCTTCCTTAAAGACCCAGTTAAAATGTACTTGCTTTTTTTTTTTTTTTTTTTGAGACAGGATCTCTCCAGGTAGGTAGTCCAGGCTGGCCTCAAACTCAAAGTGGTCTTTCTGCCTCAGCCTCCATTGTGCCTGGCTAAATGTACCTGCTTATTGTTAAAAGCATAATGTCTTGTCCAACCAGGTTCCATCCAGACTTACTAAATGTGTGACATTGAGCAAGTTACAGAATCTCTTGCTTTTAGTTTCCTCCTTTATAAAATGTGGTAAACAATAGTGCCTCCTTTATAGTATTGTTGAGACATAAATTAATACACATAAAACACAGTGAGGTGTAGTGAAGCATGCCTGTAATCCCAGTACTACGGAGGCTGAGGCAGGAGGATCGGTATGAGTTTGCGGCCAGCCTGGACTACATAATGAGTTCAAGGTCAGCCTGAACTACACAGCGAGACCTTGTCTCAAAAACAACAACAAAAGAAAGAAAGAGAGAGAGAGAAAGAGAAGGAGAGAGAGAAAGAATAATATTAGCATGTAGTGTGGTGGCACACCCCTATAATCTCAGCACTGAGGAGGTTGAGGCAGGAGTATCAGTGGCCGATCAATCCTCTGACTGCCTAGAAAAGGGGACTGAGAGCTAAAAAAAGACAACAGAGACTCATAATTTCCAGAATGGGGTGGGGGTCAGTGCCTCAGTGGACAGAAGACAAAGACACTCCAAGCTTGCCACTATTTGTTGGGTTGGTTCATAGAGAGCCTCAGATGTCTCAGAGGGCAGCAATAATCCCGAGTTCATGAGAATCTTATACTGATGTAATCTTGCCCTTGAACATCACATCATGGAACCACTGAGGCCTCAGAACAGCTCCCAACAAGGAAGACACCCTGGGTTACAGGGAGGTCAGCCTGGATGAGACTTGGTTTCAAAAAACAAACAAACAAAAATCCACATGGAAATGCAGTGTTTTCTTGCCCTTTTGTTTTACTGGTACACAAGTAACATGACAGTGGTCTGTGGATCAATGTTAGGAAACTACAAATATAGACTTGCATTATATAGACTCAAATATAGACTCAAGCCACCTCCTCCTCCTCCAAAAAAAAAAGCAATAAAGAATAATAAGAAATAGATAACATGTCCTGCTTTTTGAGCTTTTCTCATTTCCCCAAGGAAAATTGATGATTTCTACTACAATGCATTCATGTTATGTTCATTTACTTTCAGGTCTTCACTTTACACAGTTTCTGACAGAATGTGTTAAAAAAAATTTTGTTGTTGTTGTTTGTTTTTTGAGTCAGGGTCTCACTTTGTAGTGCAGGCTGGTCTTGAACTCACTATGCAGCCCAGGCCTCAGCTTCCTGTGCGCTGGAACTACAGGCCTGTACTACCACATTCGGCTCAAAAATTATTTTTTTAAAGTCATATTCATGTTTGAAGTCTTTTAAAATACAGTTTTAGACTCATCAGACATGGATTCAATTTCTATATCAGCCACTTACTAATGACATGTTCTTGGACAAGTACCAAAACCTGTTGGCACCTAGAGCTTCGGTTGCTATACCTATAAAAAGAGGAATAATAGCATTTATCTGATTGAAGATGTAGGTGACAATTTCACATTCAATTTTCCCACAGTCAGCAGATAAAGCCTAAAACACCTGGCCAAGCACACAAATCTCCCCACAAGGCAGCCCTCAGGCCTCTCCAGCCTCATCTTCCATATCCTCTCTTATACTGGCTACATCAATAATTTTGAAATGAAATTTCCTAAACCTTACAGGCTTCACAGTCTTTGCACATACTACTTATTCTGTCTGAAGTGCCCTTCCTTTTACTTCTGTGACTCAGCTCTTGTTCATCCTTCAAAACTCATTACAATATTTATTGTGTGCTTAATTAGATTGTCTGTCTTCCTGTGGTCATTCAACAGATGTGCGGATGTCCTGTGAAGTAGCCTAACCTTCTTTACCTGCAGTCTCCACTGGAAGTAAAAGTCAGCGCTACTGGACCAGGGATTTAGCTCAGTGGTTGCACCGCCTGCCCCACAAGGGCCAGGACCTGAGTTCAATCCCCAGTACAAACAAACTAACAAAAAGTCAGCACTACCAAGGCCCTCAGAGTTCACCTAAACTTCCCCAGGCCCACACTGGTGAAATGTTCTAGGGAGGAGACTGATCCAGGTTCACAGAGTATCTGTATCCACTGCCATGTAACAAAACACCCCAAGCTTAGTGGCCTAGACCAAAATCATTTCATTATTTAATACAAGTCTATATTTGTAGTTTCCTAACATTGATCCACAGACTACTGTAATGTTACATGTGTACCAGTAAAACAAAAGGGCAAGAAAACACTGCATTTCCATGTGGATTTTTGTTTGTTTTTTGAAACCAAGTCTCACTCTTGCTCTGAGTTTAAGGCCAGCCTGAACTCAGAGCAGGGTAATCCTCTTGACTCAGCCTCCCAAGTGCTGGGATTACAGGCATGCATCACCAGGCCCAGTGCATTTAATTATTTCTCACAATTTTACAGGTTGGGAAATTAGTCAAGGCAAGTCACCTGTGCTCCCATCAGGCCAACTAGGGCTGCTTGGCGGTGTATACCTGGCTTCACTCACAGGCCTTGAGCCTTGGAGAAGGGGCTGGAAAGTGGCTTCATCTGGGTCCCTCTCTTGGTAGGCAGTCAGACAGGACTGGACCCTTGAGGGAGTCAGTGCAGAGGATGAGAACACATTGGAACTGTGGCTGGAGGTGCATCTGAAGAAGATTAAAGTCACAATGGCCAGATTTGCATGCTTCCCTAGGTAATAAACAGAAGCCTGAGATAATTGGTACCACCCTTTTGGGATTTCTCCTATAAATAAACCATTATGTCTTAGGGGCATTCGAATTTGGTGCATATATATTTAGGATTGTCATCTCTTCCTCTTGCATTGTGCCCTTCACAAGGGTGCAGTGACCATCTTTGTCTCTTAATTAGTTTTGGTTTGAAATCTACTTTGTCTGCAAATAAGATTGCTACTCCTGCTTTTTTCTGGGTTCCTGTGGCGTGGA